CCTCTTCATAATCATCCGGCGGTTTCACTTTTCGAGCCAAGTGAAAATCCGAAGGCAAAGGTATATTGCTTCTCACTTCTTCTTGGTTCTTTGATACAATGTAATCAGTTAACTCGTCTAAGTTGACAAACTCGAAAAGATGTGAAGTGGTGATGTTTAGACTGGGGAAGTATCGATCATTCAACCTGTTAATGAAGTCAACCAAACCAATCGAGTCTAAACCGAGCTGCATAAATCCGGACTTGACATCTACGTTCGAGAGAGGCTCCATGAGAACGTCATCTAAGGCTTGTAACAAGATGTTGAGAGTTTTTTCTTTTGCCTGAGAAACAAAAGACGATTTATCTTGTTCGGAGACGTGTATCTCTCCCCCCGTTCCACTGGTCCCTTCATCATTTTTGTAAGTCTTTCGAAACAGAAAGTCATTCAATGAGTCAATGGATGGGAAATCAAAGACGTCCGACGTCGATACTTCATATGTCAGCAGATCGTACGAGTTCAAACGATTAACAAACTCTATAAGAGAAAGAGAATCTAAACCAAACTCCATAAAGCCTGTATCAGAGTTTGTTAGATCCCAATCCAAACCATCAGGTATGACATCATTCAGAGCTTCAATGATTACATTTCGTATTTCCTCTCTGTGATTCCGAGCCCTTTCACAAGTTTCTTCTTCTGCTACTTTTGATTCTTTCGAAATTAGAACTTTAATATTGTCTGGCAGGCTTTGTTCGGCGAAGTAAATTTCGAGTAGCAGATCTTCCTGGGTCACAACTGCTATTCCAGTGTTTGAATGGAACTTCTTAATTTCGAATTCTGTCGTCAAAGGTTTATATAAGAACAATTCCATAGAAGAAACATCTTTTCCCATATGCCAAAGTTGTGAACAAACAGCTTGATATGAATGATCCTGTTCTCCTTTGAAAGATGAAATAACTTCATCAGTTTTGATCTTCTCAGAAATTTTTTGATGATTTTTTTTGTTCTCACCATTACAGCTGAAGAAAAAGTGCGGTCCGATTGTCGCCTTTATGTGCCAAATATCTTCTTCGTCCTTACTCATCTCCATTTTTAGAAACTCTTTGTCAGACTGCTCTGGTATTTGAACAGTTTTCAAATTCCAAATATGGACTGGACATTCTATTTTTGCCTCTACTGCAGCGCATATCATCTCGATAGTTGCAGAGAAATCCGCTTGCAAACTGTCCAAATTAGAACTTCGTAAGAAAAGTTTCGGATGACGGAGAGCTGATAGCTGGTTTTCGTATATCACCAGCTTATCATTGTCAGTGACTTTTCTTCCTATCAGATAGTGGTCGAACAATTCACTTCGTTGCCGAAACCAGATGTCCTTTCTGTCGAAACAGTAGTTCAGTCCATTTATGGGTTCCTGAGCTTTATCATAAATGATCTTATAGTTATCATTCTCGCCATGTGAATAGCTGAAAGCGACAACTCTTAGAAGAGATCTAAGGCTGTTGATCGGGTAAGCGCAAGTCTCATCCGGATTCATTTCAAAACTTGAAGGAAAGTCAACTGGTTTCATTTTATGAACTTCCAGCAAATGCGTCACCTCATCCAAAGTAAACGTTCTCTCTAAATCATCCAAGAACTTCTCCGTTAGTTCAAGTTTGTTCTGATGTCCCAAAAGAAGAACGAAGTCTTTAGCAGACATCGTGCGAAGCTTAAATTAAAAAATGATCTATTTTTAGTCTCAGTAGTCTTACCTCAGCTGTAGGAGAGAATTCGTTCAGGAATTCGAAGAGCGCGAATCTAAGCTTCGCTTCTCTCGACCTCTCTTTTGGTTGATTCAGGAAGAGTTGATTGATTCTTGTAATTTGTAGAATATCAGGGTTCAATTCATGATCAATATGAATGAAGCTCAGACTCCATTCACCATCTCTTCGATCTGTTCGGAAAGATTCTAGTTGCTCTCCTTCAGAATCATAAATGAGAGCTAATCGGAAGTTGTTGAAATGCGGTCGGTGGCTCAGGCTTGAAGCTATCAAATTCAGAGAAGTAATCCCTTGATCTATCCTCTCCTGCACCTTCTCACTTATCCCATTCAATGATGCTGAAGTTTTACCAGAAAGCAGTAAAAGGTAGAAACTGCTGAGTCGATCTTCCTCAGGGATTGGGTTGTTATTAGCCTGTGATAATGGGAAAAGTTACGAAAAGTTGTGAAACTCATCTCACCTTTCGTACTACTAGAGCCACGTTTGTTCCACTCACTCCAAAAGAAGAAATTCCACAACGAGCTAGTTCTTTCTCTTCTCCTACCACGGATATTGTCACATCTCTTGCGTTTATTTGCTCATTGAGTACATGGAAATGGAGTGCAGGGGGGATATAGCTGTTCTTGATCATCATTAAGCATTTTATTAAACTAGTGGTCCCAGCAGCAGCTTCTCCATGACCTACGGACGATTTGACTGAACCTACATTGGTCTCTCCCAATTTCCTTGCTAAGACATTCAGCTGCGAGAAAAGTTGGAACCCATACAATACTTTTGACTTACCTCGATGGGATCTCCAAGGGGAGTTCCTGTACCATGTGCTTCCCAATAAGAAATATCGTTGGGTGTTAGTTTTTCATCAAATAAGCCGGATATCAATTCATCGTGAGCATATCCATTAGGGGCTGTGAGAGATACACCTCGTCCGCAGTGGTTAGAGTTTATTTTTTCTATGATTCCCAAATATGGGGAGGACTCCTTGGCCTGAACAGAACTCAGTTCTTAATATCTTTTGATTCACACCTACTCTCTCCAATAGCACTACGCTACAGCCATCCGCTCTACCATATCCAGACGCTCTGGCATCAAATGAGTAACTCATCCCATGTTCTGACAACATTTTACCATTCGCTCTGTGTCCTAAAATGTGAATTGTCAAGTTTACCATTGAGTTGGTTACCTAACGCAGTTTCTGTTAGTATGAGGTTCACTCCAGCCACTATAGCTTTTGTGCACTTTTTTTCTTTGAGGGACTGCTTCGCTAATTCTATCGCCATTAAGGAACTACTGCATGCTGTATCAACAGTTAAAGTGGGTCCCGTACATCCGAACACGTAGCTTATTCTGCCAGCAACCACTGATGTCATACTTCCTAGCATAGAGAGAACGCCAGTATGTTCCCCTTCTTTCATTAGATATGGATATTCGGTCTCCATAAGACCAACAAAAACTCCTATAACTTCTTTGTTTGGAAATTTTGATGACTCGCCATTATTATTGTTTTTTTGAACAAATAAATCAGGCAACAAGCCCGCGTTCTCTAAACATTCGTATACACATTCTAACAGAAGTCTTTGTTGAGGATCAATCCATTCTGCTTCACTCCGACTTATGCGAAAGAGGCTATGATCGAACTTGAATATATCGGCATTATCTATGAAGTTCCCTCCTTCTACAGGATTTCCATATTTAACTCCGCGGATGAGATCATCTCGTGTTGGTATTCGGTTGAGAGGTATACGCTCATTAGCACTTCTCCCTTGGACAAGGAATTTCCAGAAGTCTTCTGTATTCCGTATACCTCCAGGCAGTCGACAGGCCGCAGAAATGACCCCGAGTTCGAAAGTCTCGTCCTCAAAGATCTGCAATGTTCTTTGATTGTTGGAAGAACACGAACTACGCACCTGGTCTGATTCCGGCAGAGACAGAGAAGGAACTATCTTCTTTTCCAAGGGGACAGTAGCAGAGTTGTTCAATTTGATATCGCTTGGTGTTTTAATCATTCTTAGCAAACTTTGAACACTGAGCACATCATGGGCATGGTCGAGATGAAGGTCGACATCAAAAACGGTCTTAATTTCTTTTCTCTATAAGAACACGAAGGGGAAGATCAGACAAGGAAAAGAAACTTACTATGTGTTCTACCGCTAAAGATGGGTTTTCCACAGAATTCAAGATATTGTCACAGTCAGATGTCATGAGAGGACATATCGTGTAAAGAATATCACGAATTTTCAAAATATCATTGATCTCCATGTTTTCACCAACAACTACAACACGAGACGTTCAAGGAACTATTTTCTGCAGCCCCAAATGTTACGAACATTGAGCAATGGGTTCGTTGCTCTGTAATCACACCTAATTTGGAAGGATCCGTACCAATTGTTTTGGATCCCATTGTGGTAAACACCTCCTAAGTAGCTCAGTTTGGAAGATAAGTACAATGACATTCAGAATTGTTTACTAAACAAATTCAGAACCTTTGACATAACAAGATCATACAATAATTGACGTTCTCTGAAGTTTGTGAATGACTTTGAGTTACGGCTGTTTACTACAAAGACATTATTTCAAGAGGGATTTGTAAGTTCCTCCACAACCTTCCCATTCTTCTTCTGCAATTTCATAGAACTAACTCCCAAAACAAAAAGGTTCCATGAGAGACAGTCTGAATTGACAATTTGGTGGAAGTGGGTCAAAAAACCTGGTGTCGGCGTTTATTCTCCCTGCAGTTGCTTTATTTCCCTATTGAGCGCACTGGAGAGCGGTTGTTCTCATTTTTCTGTGCTTGTTTTATATTGATTTGGAGCTCACTGTTTCCGTTGCAGACTTACAATCAATCGATATCACCATCCCAAAACATTTTTCTTTCAAAAATCGCCACGCCGCAGCATCGTCCTCGAACAAACGACGACAACTATGTTCGCCGAGCGATGTTTGTGCAGTACGTACAGCGAATTTTGAGACAAAAGCGGATTGTTTTGGAAGCGATTAATAGGAGTGTAATGTTCGCCACTACGTACTGACGCACAAAAAAACAGAAGTTTATAGAAAATTCATTAGGCTATGCAATCACCGAGTAAAACGAACCGATGATGATTTGAAACAATCAACAAATGAACAAGAACATGAAAGTCGAAAATAACAGGCAATATAGGAACATTCCTGGGTTTTTTTTTCACCCTAGAAACATCGAAAGTATGTTAAAAGCTCTTCTTCTCACCAAGTTGTTTAGTAATTCTTTCCAGGTGGGCTAGTGAGGACTTATGAAATCTTGAACAGTTTTAACTCTTCCACAATCTGCTTTTCAGTATTGATCTTATCAAGCTGGTTCTTTTGCAGATTTTCGCCCTTGGCCATTTTCTCCTGAAAACAGAACACGTTGTTTGAAATCTCGTGGCTATGAGCTAACCTTGAGTTTCTCGATTTCTTGAAGTTTCTTATTCAGGTTGAAAACTTTTCTCTCGGTTTCGCTCATGCTAGGTTTCACAGCACTTGCTACTTTGCCTTTGCTCGCGTCCGGTGCTGAAAATGGAAGAATTACGCTGAAGTTTTTCCACAACATACCTCCAGCGCTAGGCTTTCCTCGGAGGTGAGGAGGGACATAGGCTCCCGCCTGACGAACAGCTCCTGCTGGTAAATTGTTAAGAGGGTGGCTAGCATCCTAAAATGAGTACCAATGGTGATTTCAACTTCAGAGAAGAAATATCATACTTTCTTTTTGATAAGTAATCCAGCTTGCATCTTCTCCAACTTTGTCAGTTCTTTGACTTCGAATTTGTTATACCCTAGCATAGGTCTGAACATGACTTGCCACAATTCTTCCTTAGGTGATTCGTATTCAAATTCACTGATAAGTTTTCCAGAATAATGCCAAAGTCTAAATCGATAATGAGCTCTATTCAGTGATAGTTAGCACCTGTAGCAGTTATCAATTCTAAGTCTTGGAGTAGTGGTAGCAGTCACGAAATGTTGACCGTCTGGAGCCCATTGGAATTGAGTTGTGTTAGGCACATCGATCTAGAAAACAGGAGTCTAAGAGCTGAGTTTGCTTGGATTACTGTATTGATGAGCTTCTTCTTCTCAATGTCCCAGAACTCCATCATTCCCTTGGCCAAGTTACCGAAACCACAAGCCAACAAGATGTTTCCGAAAGCATTGTAATGAACTTCGTTTCGGGGACCTTCAGCAGCATCGAAAATAGGTTCTCCTCGATGGTTATAGACGGTCAACTACAAACAATGACTCAGATATGAAAAAAAGGATATTATTACCTTTGATGGCATGAAACCATAAACAACAGCAAAGTCTTTTCCGTTGGGATTCCATTCAGCAGAGTACACTGGACCCTTCTTTGCCAAAGGCACAATGAAAGATTCGTCGGTAACGACATTTATCATGAAAACCTGAAGAGCAGTTTAAGACCTTCATAACTAATAGGAGCTTACACTTTGTTCTCCATAATAAGACTGATTAGACTTATCTACATCTACACTCGCCTTGATGAGAAGGGCAGTTCCTTAAATTACGAAATAATAAATCAGAGAATAGAGTAAGGTTTACCTTTCTGATTCCAAACCAACTCAGCCTTATCAGATTTGAAGAAAGTCTTGTTGGCTACGATGGGGAAGTCAGTTCCAACCTTCCTCACTTGAACACGGGCAGGATTAGCCTAAACGATATGCCATGAATATGGAAATGACATAGCTTCTTACTCCATGTCCATTCACGTAACAAGCAATATATAATGGTCCGTTTCCTGGGCTAAGAGCGAAGTTACCTAAGTTGGGAACAGCAAGTTTGTCTTCATAGCGGTCTAGAACGTAAAGTTAATGAGTTAGGCTATCATGGTATGGGTTACTCACTCAAATTTCCATTTTTATAAATACAAAGTTCGCTTCCTTGTTGTCGAATGCAGATGGATTCATCATCCGACCATTGGGGTTGCCAAGTTGACTAGAATGACGATGGAAATGTGAAATTAAAAGTTACTAACCTCTTTGGCAGCGATCAAAGTAGTTACATGCTTCTTCTCCTTCAAATGATAGACCCTGAGATTAGGTTCAGGCTTCTGATCATCGTGAGTCTGAAGGATTGCGGATTAACGGAAAACCAAAGAGACTCTTACTTTTCTTCCGTAAATAGCATATTGCTCATAAGTGAATAAGTAAGTATCTTTGGGAGAAAAAGAGAAAGCTTTAGTTCTTTTAAGATCAAGTGAAAGAATTTCTTTCCCCGTGGATGGTTCAATTACTCGAGTTCTGAAAGTATTTCGTCTCACACGGAATTTCGCAGTCGTCTCACCTTTGAGTATCACAGTATGCGAACAAATGACCTGCATTACTAAAAGCGAAAAGCTCACATGGATTTTGTTTGGGGCTTCTGGAATGTGACTATTACTAAGAGTGGACTTCCCTAATTGACTTACTCCTTGTCTTCAAAAAGCGCAGTGGAATTGGTTAAACCTCGTCTCAACGAAAAGCCTGTACTCCCGCGAATCGCATATACTAGGTTATCACCCATAGCTGCTTTCGAAGCTTAAACTGAAATTGTACAAAAGATTTAATCGGAGCAAAAGAAGGGAAAGTCGTAAAAAGATTTCCACATAACGAAACGTTGAAAGAAAATAATTTTTTGAACTACGAATTTAAAGGAGTTTTCAGATGGTTCCGACACGATTGTATTTTCATCCGCCGGTAATACAAGGTTTCTGCTTTAACAAACCTTTTTCGTTTTTTAAATAATTTTATTATTTAAATTTTGAATTAATTTTAATTCCATCGTTTCCTTAATTTTTATTTCACCTACCCATAAATTTTGAAATAAAATAATTGCAGAGCTTTGTTTTTGCACGACAATGAATGATCGCATGGTGATTGATCGAATAAATACAGCTATGAACATGATTAAGTCAAAATATGAGGTTTTATTTTTGTTTTCTCCTCTTCCTCTCTTTCATTCTCAATTTTCTTCAGAGAGATGAAGGCTTACAAATTCTTGACGAAGTTCCTATGACTGTAACGCAACTTAATGAGACTCGGGCAGGGCAGAAGATCTGTCGTGTGTTCCGCTCATCACGGTAGGCTCTTTTCATTTCGAATTTTAATTTTTTTCAAATATGTCTTGTTCATCCTATCATAATGCGCTTCTAGCTACTTCGACCGTGCAAAAGCTTTACACAAAAAATGGATTCCAATAGCTGATAAAGAGCTGATGGAACGGTGGGATGAGTTGAAACATTTGTGGCTTTCCAAAAGCGAAATCAAAGAACTCGATAGAGCACAAGCGAAATATGACAAAAGTGAACTACTTTTCGTTAAGTATCTCTTTCACAGCTCCAATTTAAGCTCATAATGTTAATGATATGAAATCCCCCATCCCTATCACACCTGGCCGACAACGCCACGATTCCACTGATCCAAACTCGAGCTTCACAAGAGATATTGATATTCTTTCGAAGGAGAATGATCGTTGGTTCATGGGTACGCAATTTAAATATCAACAAACTAGTGTTGAAACATTCGTTCAGATGGTGTCACTCTTCCTGCAATTCCCCGAACTCCGCGAGCGCGAGAAGTTGATGATTCGTTTGATGAGTCTTTCCTCGATTCCGAAAGTTCCAACATTAGCGATTTCCAATTTGGAGTAAGATATCGCAACATTGAATGATTGGAAAACTATTCTTTAGATACCTGAGCGCCGTCCTCGGGGTCGACCACGCAAAAATGCCGCCTTATCTGGCTCTAGAGGGAGAGGATCCTCTCGACGTGTAAGTTGTTTCATCCGATTCAAAACGCATGCCTAGGTCACGTGGTGCTATTAATGTGATTTTTTCAGGGTCGACGTGGACGCTACTAACTGAATGTTATCATATTTGAATGCCTTAATCATTTCTGAGTTACCAGGATATCCTTTATCACTTTTCATGCTTTAATTTTTTTTTCAACGATCTGATCATTTATCTCAACTTGATCTCTTTTCTTCTATCTTTTTGCTACCGATATCTTTACATTCTACGCAATGTTTTCATTTTATTTTTTCCAGCTTTTCAAATTTTTACTTTAATATTCTATTTATCCTTCTTCTCAATTATAGCCTCAGTTTCGCCTTCTGATTTCCTAATTGCTATTACGCTTGTATCACGGTCTATGTGTTTTGTCGTTGTTGTCTTCACTTCTCCTGTCCCTATCTCCTCTCGTCCGTGTGCTGCTGCTGTGACCCGGAGGCTGGGTAGTAGTAGACGAAGAAAAGAGAAAAAGCGAGAGACTTTGAGAGCGTGAGAGAGGAAGACAGCAGCAGTCTAGCAAGCGAAGCAGCAGAGAGAGTCTTATTCTGTGTCCGTCCCCCTTCATTGTCCCCTGTGTGTGCAGCAGCCGGCGACGAAGGGCGAGATGCGATGTGTGCGCGTGAATAACCGAATGGTGGCGGCCGGGGTTGCCCCGTGTATCGATCGTTGTAAGAGACGCAGAGGACGGACGACTGCGACGCCGCCACCGACCACTCCCCCATTACGACCGCTTCACCACTGGCTCTTTCACCACCATCATCACCACTACAGCCAACAATTTCAATCGTTTTTCCAATTTGGTATATGATTTTTGTATTTTTTCCTTATTATTTCATTTCATATGTTATTCATTATCCTCGCACAGTTTCAGTAGCTAATTTCTTTTGCATTCTTGATGTGAAAAAATCGTTTTTCGCTTGACGATACGCGTCTTAAAGGCGCTGCTTACGCGTTTTCGCAATGTTTTACTCGTATTACGTTTCGTTATTTCATCCATTAGACTATTCTGAATCTTATCATAATCATATTCTCTCTTTCTCTCAATCTCTCATATTCCCTCTCTCCTTCTCTATCTCTTTTTCTTTTTTATCTCCGGTTTATATGGTTTGTTTCGTTTGTTATGTCAGCTACGTTAGTAACCTAGTTTCCAATTTTGCGTGAATCATATCCACTTAAGTTAGTTATCCTTTTCAAAACATTTGACTGATTTTGACCTCACTTCCAAGTACTGCTTCGCTTTCAGTTTCTGCATTATCTGTCCTTTATGTATATTAATCTCACGTTTTACTATCAATCGGGTATGGACTGCATGTCGTTGTCTTTACTGATTTGATACGAAAATTGTCATATTTTATGACTGCTTTCGTCTAAATTAAAAAATCTCATGCTTCCCACTATCTCATTAGTTGTCTTGGTTGGATTCGCTTTATTCGCACTATCTCAACTGTCTGATCGATCTTTCTCTTGGACCCATTGGCTGAGCCGTTGCGGCTTGGTTGTGTAATTATTTACAGAACGGTTGCATTCCATTTATGACACTATTGAAACCAATCTTCAATAATATCATAATTTTCATACCCCACATACTTATAGTCGTTCTGCGACACAAGTCTGTTCTGCTAGTTCGTTGTAATTTTACTGGCACGATTCTGTTGTTAGATGCTGTTCTATGGCTTGAACTCCAAACTTTTGTGTTTTCATACCTCCTTCTTTGTCATTCACTTAGTCATATCTCTCTTTTTTCATTTTTCATAATATGTCGTAATGTCTTCATTTTTGAATTTTGATCTTCTTTTTTCCTTGTTGTAGGTTTTATGCTCCCATAAAATAAATTTTTTTTCAGGTCCTTAGGTCAGGTAACGGACTTTTTCTAGGTCTGAAAGACTAAAATGGATCTGGAAAGAGGTGTTTCCAATATCAAAATAGACGACAATCTGTGGCGGCCTCAACATGATCAAACCTCACAAGTAAGATCGCCAGCTTTCTGCCTTTATTAATCTCACAATTTAGGCATGGGGTGGACCAATGCCAGGAGCAGCTTCAGGAAGTAATCCAGGAGGATGGGGGCATATGAGTCCACAACAAATGAGGAATCCATGGCCAGATGGCAATTTAGGTGAGGACTAATTTACGTCTTCCCCCTGAATGCAAAATTTATAGCTCAAAACGTAAATGACGCTCTCGGTATTAGCGGCCCTCCAGCCCAGGGATGGGTGCCAATGAGTGGTGCTCATGCAGATTTCAATGATAAAATTTGGAGCGATGCTCATGCTGAACCTCAACAGTTCCAGTCTATGCATAATCATCACAGTACGACTTCAGTTTAACAGCTTCTTTGTTATTCATTTACTTTGTCTCAGGAGGAATAAATGGAATGATGGACGCGCCTGGTGATTGGGGCGCTGCAGGACCTAATCAGTCACATCAACAGATGTGGAGTGATCCTCAAAACCTTAAAGCAGAACAAGATGCCTATTGGAAGCAACAGCAGCAGCAACAGGTATTTTTATTCTCGTAAACCCGAAGACTTATTGCTAATTCTTCAGCCTGGTAACACATGGGGAATGTCACGAGGTGGCCCTATGGGTGGATTCCATATGGGACCTCCAAACAATCATCCAAGAGTACATGAGGGTCAGATGGGTGTAATGATGGGAATGAGAGTTCCTGGTCCAAATGGTATCACGCTTCAAAGCAGTACCAAATCTATTTTCTTTTTTCCAGGATGGAATCCTCCTCCAGGTGTATATAGACCACAAGCTCCTTCAGATAGAAATATTTGGGGACGTGGTGGAGGTCCTCCAAGGATGTCTGGACGCGGATATCATCCAGGCGGAGTTGATATGAGTGTTCCACCTCCAATTGATATGCCTGTATGTTATTACTCTTGCTGTTCCTATCTCAACTTTATGATTTTAGGGAGAGATGCATATGCAAGGAGTTAATCAAATGCGTCAAATCCCACCTCCTAATAATATGATGGGTGGTATGTGGAAGCAAGATCCTATGGGACCAAATGGAATGCGATCAAACTCATACGGACAGGTATAGGAAGAAGTGTTGGAATTTTAATTACATACTAGTTTTCAGTCTCAACAAGTTCCATCACCTTTTGCTATGCCATCTAAATCCCAAGCTCCCCCTGGTCAATTCCCAATTGCCGGAGCAGATGACTTAATGTGGCACGATCCCAACGGAGATTTGAAGAAGTGGCAACGGGATACTGGGGTATCTCTATGGGGAGATCCAGAAAAATGCAGTAAGTCTTTAGAATCTATTTTTTTGCCATCTGCAAAATTACTAACACAATTCATTGTGAGTTTCAGATGAGAGACCTGTTCGCCTTTGGGTTGTACCAGAAGGTGAAGAAGAGGACATTGAAGTTGCTTTAAGCAAATGTCCTATTCCTCAGAAAAGAGTATGTTGCCCATCTTATCGAACCGATCTATCTTCGCATTTCAGAATGAGGATGGTAGTGCTCGCTTGCCACTAAGTTTACCTACTAAACGCCCAATTGTTGTCACTGGATGGGGAGAGCTTCCTGAAAATGACCCTAACAATCCATCTAAACAAGGTAATGATGATCTAATTCGTTTTGTTGTTTATAAATTGATTCTTTCGATGATGGAACAAGCTCAAAGTGGGGTGATATTACTCCTGTGCCTTCAAATGATGCTCCATGGTATCTCCCTAGCCAACAACAAAGCAATTTCGCCGCCGACACCTCTGCCTGGGGGCAACCTCCTGCTACAGGTAAATTCATGGTGATCAAGATCCTTTCTAACTCACTGTTTTCAGAAAACTCAAATTTTGCACATAAGCACATTGCTGACCAGCTCAAATATGCCGTTGAAAAAGTGCGTCCTAGCTTTGTCGGAAAAAATTTATCGCTTTGATTTCAGGGCTATCTCGACATGTCGATTCTTTCTCTTCCCACACTGCCTCCTCATGTTCTCCAAAATATAACGAGTCTATTGACGAAAATTCCTTTGCTCGAAAGCGTTCAAAATGAACTTAAGACATTGGTACTTATTAGTTGATTGTTGTGTTTGAGTTGTTTGCATGTTACAGACTGAAAGTGTTCGCCCTGAGGGTGAACTAGAAGGTAGCAGTCCCGTTCGTTGGATGAATGAAGTGCAAAAGGTTTCGTTTCGCTAGGAGCCTTGGGTTAAATGTTGTTTTGCTCTAGGTTGATTACAACCGCCTCATCATTGATGTAACGACGGCTAATATAGAAGTTAGTGATCTTTCGAAGAAGATTAGTACAGGTCTTGCTGATGCCGGTATGGCTCCTATGCCACAAGATAGTAACAGAGGAGAGGCCTATCATTATTCCTTTTTGGAATAATTTCTAACTGTGAAAGGTACTCATCTGCATCTTGTTAGTATAGTAGTTATGCCCCGAATTTACAGAGTCAGTGCCGTAATCATTGTACCTTAAAAGGTACGGTTTGTTACTTTAGTCCTCAAGGATTCTCTACAACTCAATTCTCCCGCAACGGGCCTTTACCAGCCTTTACAAATCTCATTTCTTTGCAGCTAATACGCGTTGCTTTGCTGATTCCCTTTTTTACTCTAGTAATGATGCTTATTTCGATTGTGATCTGTAGAGATTCTCTATATGTAAGTAGCCTAATATTTCTTATGTTGTATTCTAGTTTGGCTCCCCTCCCCTTAGTCCTATTGTTGAGCAGTGATATGCACTAGTGGACATTAAAATAGTTGCACCACCTGAACATTTCAAATCCTCTCAAAAAATGATAAATAAAATCAATTTCAAGGATTTTTTGGGTAGAAAGAATGAGGAGAACTGCTGTATGTGATGATACCTTCGAAAATTTTCAAGTTTATACTTTTTGAACGTTTTTAAGCTTGTAACTATTTTGATGTCCATTACTGTGAGTGCTCATAGCACATTTGCCATCATCAATCAGTGACTAATAGTCTATACTCTGGTGTGGGTCGTTAAATCTCGCGACTCCGTGTTTCCTTATATGGGTTCACAATCTAATCCACGTAATACATGGCCACTACTAACCTCCGTATCACTTGTGTTTTCTGCATATTATTCTTATGTGTCCTCACACTCCCAATGACCCAAGCCTTAATCCTATTTTCTTCTATTTTGTGTTTCTTTTCATTTTGTCTTATTTGTTGCCAAAGCTGGATCTTCTGTTGTCCTGTCAAGTATTACTAACTATATAGTATAGCTAGGAAGTTATGAAAACAACTAGAAGACATCTAGATAGTGTAAAAACAACTCAGATGGCCGAATGGGCAAATAGTAATAACTTGAAGTGATAATATCATCTATATCACCTTTAACTATATCATATAGTTAAGCTGCATAGTTAAGCTAATATATTAATCTTTTGCATTTATGATAACTTGAGTTTTCATCGAAATATAGAAATGTTTCATGTTCATAAGTTGTAAATGGTTGTTAACTATATTATCTGGTTAACCTAATATAGTTACACAAAATTCATTGATGGTTATGTAAGCCAACATCCTTAAAGGGTCAAAAAATATATAATGTTCTTATGTTCTTTGTTAATTATAGAAAATTAATGATAAATACCTGTTCATATTTTGCGCTCATAACACTCATGCGCCGCGAGGACACGCGAAAATGAGATGATCGGAGGCTTATTACCTTTTGATATTTTGGAATTTTGTGATTTCGGGATTTCTTGTCTATATCCAATGTCATTCGGCTCGAAATCAGGTACTGATTTCGATTTTTCTAACGAAATGTTTTCATAGCTCTCACCCTTTCTATCTCTTCATTCTTTATATCTCTCTACTACCCCCTCTATCTCGCAAGAGCTTTCATTTTGATAAACTTTGTTTAAATTCAAACTGTTTATTTGATGGGAATGCCAAACGGTTTCCTTTTCTGTTTAGAATGAGCAAACTATCTAGCCGGTCATGTATTTCAAAATGAGATGCCTGATGTATATTTCCTTAGATGGAGTGCCTTAGTGTTTTTTTTACTTCATCACTGGTTTTGAAGTTTTGTAAAGACTTGAAACTGCTTCCTATGGTTTTCATGTAGTTGGTTTTTTCGATATGAAATTGGCACTCGTAAAAGTGACAATTTGAGGGAAATTTTCCTCATGAAATTGAATGTATTCGTTTTTCTATAACTACATGGAAACCATAGGTTGTTTCGAACTTAACTGCTATCAAGATTGAGCTAACAAATTCAGGATTAGAACGGGAAAATGTTGAAAATGTTCTTAATGAGACGAGTATTTTCAATAAACTTAACGCAGGGGCGATACCGAGTTTCCAGAGAGAAAAATGTAAATGAACAGCCTAACCCTCAGCGCAAAACGAGCGGTTAACGTATATCCATTTCAATATAAGTAGTAAGAGAGATGTGTGGTGAGGAATGCTATGGGTTCGAGCAGTTGTTAGCTCTTTAAACGCGCCAACTCACGTGGCTGACGTATCCCTTAATACCGCTCTTCATTGCACAACAGTTCAACGCAGAGAGCGGTTGCATTCTTTACCATCCATCCCTTTGCCGTTAACTGCTCTCTCATTGTGTCTGTTCTTTCATCTTTCTCTCTTTCTTTCAAATATGATATATTTCGTGTTCATCATGGGGTAAGCTGCGAGTCTATTGCTTCTTCTCAATCCAGTGTCTTTCTCTCTTTGAAAACAATTTCACTTCCTGTTCTCCTCAAATCAGCTTTGAAACCACATAAAGCTCCTTCTAAGCTTGTTCTCGTCCTTGATATCTGTCTAGAGGTTATATTAATCTGCAATCGCCTGTAATTATATAATAACGTGTGTGCATTTGGAATAAAAGCTTGATATAATGGTTATCATTGTTTTTTCTTTGTTTATTTTGGTATTGATTTTTAATCATCGGAACCTTTGTTTGTTGAAAAGAGTGATGAGTGTGTCGAACTCATCGACCTGGCATTCCTACAAGATCCATCCATATTAAACCAATATGCAAAACATTGGTGCTAGGTCTTCTACAGATTCTTTTTTTTGAGGTCAGGGGGTCGCTAACCAGGAAAGATGATATAGACGATATGGGTATAAAGGTAATGAGGATCTTTGAGTAGTTAACATTTCTTTTCTAAAGGGATCAAGCTTTAATCGCAGTTAGTCAAACAATGAAAATAATTTAGAATTCGTGAATTTTGATCTCCCAAATTGATGCTGAACTTCGCTGAGTACATGAGGATAACTAGAGGGTTCACTGAATTAGAAACAGTTGCTGAATAATGACAACTCAAGAATCGAAAACGGCAATATTCAATACGCTTGTTGTTCATAAATCCAAAGTGATAAGATAAGAAGAAACCGTTAAGGTTACTACTAAGACTAGTGTTGCGATTTCGAACAGATACGAGGAAGCTTATCGGTTACTTTTTAAAAAAAGAAGAAAAGCATTGCAGTCTGAATCTTTCTAGAGAGAACATTCGATGCAAGAAAATATGACAGCAATTAGCACACTAAAGACAATTTCATTTTGCTAATGAGCAATATCTCTACCATACTGGTAAGATAATGATGATTTCAAAACAAACAGCAAGAGATGCGCTAGAGGACATCACTGTTTGAAGGCTATCAAGATCAACGATGAATATTAATTACTTCTTGTGATGAATATTTGTTTTAAAATGATGTGTGATCATTGATTATTTGGTGGATCGACCGTTTCATTGCGTACATCCGACCTATTTTGATATTCAAGAAGTTTACTTGTAATCAATTGGTAATGTGTATGCGACTTCTTTGTGCGTTCCCTGGATTATGGATGTGCTCTGAACCGAGACACCTTCTTTTGAATGTTTTGATCATTCTTTGCGTTCCTTCTATTTGTATACTTCAAAGAATGATCAACTCATTTTAGAATGAAAACAAGTGATTTAAGGAAATGCGAACCTTATCTTCAAGTAATAGAAGGTTGTGGGAATGTGTTCGGAGCTACTATTAAGCTTTACAAATGTTCCCGATTTGGTGAATGCAATAAGAACATAGAAATGCTCAAGATAAAAGCCTTTTTCTGCTGCCAGTTCATCATATGTTCCTGAAAACTCCATTTGGTATACTTGTACTTAACTTGTTCTTTAGTTCTCTACACTGGTCTTATGAACTCCTGGTATGCTAACAACATTTCATCCTTCTTTACTATGAAGACATCTTGGACGTTCTTTGGATTGACTCTCTCGTTTTCTTCCAGTCTCTGTTAACAGTGTCAAGTCGATATTTCTATGATCACGTAATTCCACGACTTTTATTTTCTACTCTCAGCTGAGAAGGGTGGGTGGGATTGAAGCCGTCAGTCAGTGTTCCAGCTATAGTTGGACGGTGTTGTTCCGCACAACGAGTTCTTAACTTTATCATTGTTTCTTCTTATTCAAAATCATACATGAATCCTTTATCACCGTCCTCCTCTTTGTATATAAGCTTATCATTTTCTTGTTTAGCAGTCGTTTCATGTACCTTCCTGAGAATCGTTGTGAATATATGTCGAATTTTCATTTCAGAATGCTTTCTTCCCGCTTCGCTCGCCTTTCTCTTACCTCTTCCCGAACTTTCCTCGGAGGAGCCGCTGCTAAGCCAAGACATGATTCTGAAGGAAGACCACCACCACCAGTAACTCAACTCAATGAGCACGAAATGGCTTTGAGAGATACTGGTTGGTTTTTTGAAATGTATATCTTCGCTCATTAATCTCTTTACAGTGAAACGCTTTTCTCAAAACGTAGTTAAGCCACTTGTTCGTGAGATGGACGAAAAAAGCCATATGCATCAGAGTGTTATTACTGGCTCTTTCGAAAATGGGGTAGGAAGATCAACGGTTCTTGATATCAAAAATGCGCACATTGCAGTTCATGGGAGTCGAAATTACAAACGAGTTTGGAGGACCTGAAATGACCTTTTTCGACGCAGTTCTTGTCATCGAAGAGTTGGCCAAGGTAAGTGCTTCTTTGATACAGATCCTATTTTCTATATTTAGGTTGATGCATCTGTATCGGTATTCGTAGATGTACACAATACTTTGGTTGTACCTCTCATCATTGAACATGGAACCCAAGCTCAAAAGCAGAAATATTTGACCAAATCCACTTCTGAATGGGTACGTTAGTTTTTCATGCGATGAGAATTTTGAAAGAAAAGATTCTAAGGTTTCTTCAAGACGTTCAGATTGGTTGCATTCCGATTCAGCTTGCACTATCTAATTAGATATTGATTTCCAGATTGGATGTTTCTGTCTTACTGAGGCTGGATCTGGTTCTGATGCCTTTGCTCTCAAAACTGTAGCTAAAGAAGATGGTGATGACTACCTCATCAGCGGATCCAAAATATTCATTACCAACGCTGGACACGCTCATTTCTTCTTGGTAAGTCCTTTAGCCGGCACATTAAACTGATAAACTGTGTTAAGGTATTCGCTAACATTGACCCATCCAAGGGATATAAGGGTATTACTTGTTTCTTGGTTGACCGCAATGCTGAAGGACTTAGCGTAGGAAAGAAGGTTTGTGATATGATACGTGAAACAGTATACTCATTCGTCGCAGGAAGACAAACTTGGAATTCGTGCGTCCTCAACATGTACTGTTAACTTCGATAATGTACGAGTGCCAAAAACAGCAATTTTGGGTGAAGCAGGGAAAGGTAAACAAATTCTGAAGATAATACGATCTTCATATTGTAATTCAAGGTTATAAGTATGCCATCGAATGCTTGAATGCCGGACGTATCGGTATTGGAGCTCAGATGATCGGACTTGCTCAAGGATGTTATGATAACACCATTCCATATTTGCAAGAAAGAAAGCAATTCAACCAAAGATTGATTGATTTCCAGGTTAGTATTGGCTTTTGTTTTTTTGAATTCTTCTGTTTATGTTTTTGCTAAACTTTATATGAAACTTTAAGGGTATGCAACATCAAATTGCTCAGGTTGGCATGGAAATAGAAGCTGCTAGACTTCTTGTTTACAACGCTGCTCGTCTGAAGGTATTGAAATTTGTTTTTAATTGCTGAAAGCGTTGTTATCTATTCGCTACTGATACTTCCTCTGTTTCAGGACAATGGTCTTCCATTCGTCAAGCAAGCTGCTATGGCCAAGCTTTATTCTTCTCAAGTAAGAAATCTTTCTCGTTTCTCAATTAGTAATGTTTCTCCAGGTCGCAACTTCATGCACATCTAAGTGCGTCGAATGGCTCGGTGGAGTTGGGTTCACAAAAGATTTCCCAGTAGAGAAGTTCTACCGTGACTGCAAAATTGGTATATACAAAGTAAATTATTTTTAATGACCAATTGTTCCAGGTACCATTTACGAAGGAACTTCCAACGTTCAGCTTAATACCATTGCCAAGATCATTGATGCTGAGTACAAGAACTTGGCCTAAATCACTTAGTAAATCTCGAAAGTCAGAACAATGTTTGGGTCATATAACATCACGTGTACGTATCCTTATTGTATTTTGTAGTTTAGATTATGAGTGTTTGTATTAGGAGTCCGCGAATTTGTTCATTTTCGTTTTAATTTGAATGTTATAAAGACTATTCTATTGTGTTTCTGAGTACTGCGTTCCTAAGCTTATTGTTGGTGGTAACATTAATGAAATACTGAGAAGAGTTATTGGATTGAAAGATATACACACATTCAAGCCTTTCTCTCTCTCTCTCTCTTTCTTTCTCTCTTAATCTTTATTGGTATCTTCGAAATATCTTCTCCTTAATCTTCTTTGTTTTGTAAGGTAGGCCTAATCGACTATGTTATATCCAGATGTGCACAACACACCCCAGGTATTCGAAGATATAAAAAGAAAAGCAAGAAAGATGAAGACTGTTGCTGTGGGGACAAACCTGCTTCTGTTATCTTCGCATGTTGCTGTAATAATTTGATATCTTCCGTGCTCAGAGAGGCAGAAAGAAGACGATGCCGTTGATGTGTTGTTGCTGTGACGACGAGCTGGGCGACACATAAGGTATGGAGAGATCAGACAAGCGAGAAAATTTGGAGACAACAAGATTTGAAGAGGTTTGCGACATTCTTACTGTAATTGACGCGAGAAGCTGAGTTAGGTTCAATTGTTATCTTCACATTTCTTTCTTTTCTTCGCTCTCTGCCACAAAGCTCCCTCGTGCAGTTTTGATATCTCTATCGAGCTATCTCTCTAATTCTATCTTCATTCTTTACCCCATTCCTCATAAGGCGACGGTGTATCGATATGAATCTGAGTTAATCGGCTAGCCAGCATACTCGTTATCTCTTGGAGCTATTCCTTAGTAATGCACGTTCCTCATTAATATCAACACAATCCAGCTACTGCTGTTTCTCCTATGCTGTTTATAACTTGGCCAATTTTCTGTTCGGTTCCTCTTCTCATCTCTCTTTCTCTCTTATGCCCAGTTCCAACTAATTGTTATCCAATTATCTGAAATATCAACTATATTAGTGAACTATGCAAATCTTGCCAGAGGATTTCTTGCTCACACAACAAGAATATTCTAGAATATTGGTTTGTGGACCTGCTGTCTACTAATCCGTTTACCGTATGCTAGAAGATGTCTCCACCTTTCCATTTCTAAACTTTACATTTCTACATTCTATTGATCTTCTTTCGTCTACAGAGTATCTTCAAGCGTTATCGAATCATATACAGAGGGACTCTGTATAAGTCATTGGATACATTTTGTATTCATCAAAGTTGTTTTCTAATCGGCCGTCTAAGAAATTATCCCCCGGGAACAGAACTGTCGCTACTTTCTAACTTTTCAAATGGCTCATTTTGATTTTTATTCGTTATTCTATCTACATTCTTCTACCTGCTCCTCATTTCTCTGCCCACTTTTCCGTTTCCTCTCCCTCTCTCTTACAATTCTGATGTCTTGTCGTCGTCTCTTCTCAACCTATCTTTTTCTACATGTCTTAATAATATCATATGATCTCTTCGTTTATGTCATAAATAGAGTTTTCATAATTGCATGTAATATCTCTGATAAGCGAAAGTAGCTTTCCGATATTTGCTATAACTATCAAATTGCTCCTGACACTTTCGACGAATACCAAATTACTTATTACTCGTCTCATAGCATTCGCCGAACGACAGCTCAACTTACCTGACAGGATAGCTGAAGCTTCTATCGAACTTAATATCACAATCGAGCTTTATGATTTGAAACTCGTTTGTGTTTTTGTGTTTATAACTTTCTTTCAGCCTCCACCCACTTCTATTTCCTGTTGTGTAGTTTTTTTATCTGTATTTTCACCTAAAATCATCCCCCCCCCTCACTCTTTTCACGAGTTTCTGACTTTCGGTTCCGCTTACTCTCATCTGAGCCTATGCTTAATGCAGTTTGTTCATTCAGATATACAGCTTGCTCATCGATTTTCTTTTTCTTATTCATTTTTGTTATTCTTCATTCGAAATCTTCATGTTCAGAGAGGGTTTTCAAGGCTTACATTGGGAAAGTGACAGCTCAAAACTACAAAATCTTCTCTTGAAAATTGAGGAAATAACAGGTAGTGGTGTTATGGAGTATTTGTAAAGTCTGAATGTATAACTCACAGATCTACACACATACCGATTCTCGTCTGAAGTTTTATCGAAATCAAAAAATTCATTCCCAACTAGATCATATTCAGACGTCAGTGGCTGTGCCTGCGCAGTTATCTGACGTTCCTAGAAAGCATGTGAGGAAAAGGCAGAAAATGAGCTACTGGGGTTAGTTTGCATTTTTTCTCTTTTTTTTGCCATACGTTTTCATCTCATAACGAAAAGTCAAGCTGTCTTGAATGGCATAATTAACATAATCTCAAATCCACGTTTCCACGTAACACTCGTTTTCATTCGAAAACAACGCGTTGCGTGGGACGGTTGTGTACAACCTATTATTAGTTTCTTCTGTCTGAAAGTTTTTTTCTTGAGGATTATGTGCAATTTATTTACTTCTCTCAATTCTTGTTGGCCTGGTGAAGACTGTCGGAGGATCGGATGTTAATGTGGCAGTCATTGTTGATGACCGACTATCATATGCTCAATCAGTCTTTGATTCTTCCATATCAGAACTGCAAAAAGACACGCAATCAAGCTCTAATATCAAATACAAGTATATTATTTTATTAAAATTTCTACTGAAGATCACATTATTATAGTGTTAATTATGATGGAAAGGGTACATGCACACGAGGCCCTCAAATGCAAGAGGGTGTAGCATCATTGATGAATTATTATTACAAAAACAATATCCAAGCTGTTTTCGGTCCAACATGCTACTATGGTATCCATGAAGCGTTTTGCATTTGCATGCTCATCTGTTATGTATCATAGATCTGGAAATAGCTGCTCGCTTAACATCTGAATGGCACATCCTGCAATTCAATTTTTGGAATGATCATCCAAGCGATTATATAAATCCTAGCATAGTTCAGGTACGTGCATAATCATCAGCATATCATATATGCCTAATAAGGATTTCTATTCTCTATCTACTTCCAGATGACCACCAGATCATTAATAAACATTTGTGAAAATATATTAGCGTTTTTGAAGGGTGTTGAATGGAATAAAGTACGTCTATCAATCTAGCATTTTGTGAATAAAAAATTAACCAATTTCAGCTAGTATTCATCTATTGCACGGATTGTTATCAAAATATAGAAGTTGAAGAAATGCAAATGAGGTAAAATTTCATAATAGATTTCATAATATTGCTAAATGGCACGAATATTTGAATACAAAGAGCTTAACTTTTTCCTTGAGAGAGAAAAAAAGAAATTTATAATCTGTTTTGTTTTCTTTTTCATTAATTTTCGTTCTTTTTATAGAGCTAAGAACATTACACATTATTTGGATCATAATGATATCGTCATATCAAGTTTCATTGAAGTATACAAGAACTATAGTAAAGATGATTACAAAAGGCTTTTGGTAGGAATGAATACTTACAGTCGTGGTGGGTGTTACTATCATACAATAATAATTTCCTTTTTCTCTTCTTCTTCATATAAATGTTATTTCAGTTGTATTACCTTTAGTTGGTGAAGAGCTAGCTGATTATATCAATTTACAACTGGCTTTGAGAGAATTGACATTCAATTCATCAGAATATTCTACTCTTATACTCGCAGAAAACTATTCAGTCAGTATTTTTTATGTATATAATAATCTTATTTGTAAGCTTATTATAGAATGAAGAATTTAAAGTGCCAGAAAGGGCAGATTCACCGGACCTTTTTGAGAAAGTAGCTGTGGTATGATTAGAATGATGTTAATAGAGACTAAAAATGATTTTCAGTTACGTAATGAAGTGTTTGATAAGCATATCATAGACCCATATCTCGCTAAAAACAGTTTTCCAGAGGTATGGCATGTGAACCTCAATTTTCAAACTTCTTTTCTGTTTTTAGAGAGATGCCCTTATGTATATTCATTTGAAAGAATCTGTTAATGTTTTCAACCAAGTTGTACAACAAGCGCAGAATACTGGAATATCTGTCATGGATGCACTACAACTAGCTCATAATTACCAAGGTAGTACATCAAGAGTATTCCTTCTCGACGTTTCTCTTGTTCAGGACCTTTCGGTGAAATTAAGTTCAACTCAAATTTTCATCGGATATCGGGATTCACAGTGTACATAGTTGAAGACAATTTGCTTGTTAGATCAGCAAACCAGATCACAACTAGGGATGCAGGAGGCTTGCCATGTATTCCAAATGGCCAATGCTTGGTAAATTGTTTTTCACGCAACTCATTCAACTATTATCTGTTAGACATTCACCCCTGTCTCCAAACAAGTGTTTAACTCGGGACAGCCAACTTGTGGATTTCAAGGAGAACTATGCGACCAAACTGGGTAAACTTTGATTTCTAACGACTGATTACTAATGAGAGATTCATTCCAGTACCGTCGTTATAATAGCAGCTGTTATGGCAACTGTTTTTGTTTCTGTAGGAGTGTTTGTTGGTATTCGAAGAATGTGAGAATTGCCTTCAATTCATTTCTATTGTTCGCAATTTTAGGAAATCAGGAGAAACCGCTTCTATGCCTTGGGTAGTACCTAGTCAATCTGTCAAGCTTATAGAAATCAATAATGGAAGTCAGCATATGTCTATCTTGAGTCTACAACAACATTTAGACAGCACGGTAGAGCGATGAGAGAAGAAGGTTAATAACTAGATGAAGTTTAGGTCAGGTTCCGAGATTTTATGAGAGGAAGGCAACTGGCTACATTAGAACAAGCTTATGTTATTGTAGAACGTTACCCAATGAGAGAACGCTTGGTCTTTGACAAAAACGATATGTACCTCTTGTTCCAGGTCAGTAGTTCGACTTTATCATCTTCAGTAACAATACTAACAAGTTTGCTTTTAGCTTAAACAGCTCTCACACGATAATATTAATCCATTTATGGGCATGTGTTTCGACCGCTCCATAGAACTTATGTTGCTTTGGACTCATTGCTTCAGGTTTGTACTATCAAATATATCATAATTAGAATGTTGTTTACGATTTCGAAAAAATGAATCTTATTATGTTTAGAGGATCATTGGCGGAGATGTTATTCGCAACAAAGGAAGAATCTGGTATATCGTTCGACAACAACTTCAGAAGAGCTTTTGTAAGAGACATATTGAAGGTCCGTGTAGCTTTTTCTCATAATCTTCATGTACCATGTTGTTCCAGGGTCTCGATTATCTTCACTCCTCAGCATTAGGCTACCATGGGTCGTTGTCTCCATCTCAATGTCACATTGGTAAGTTCTAGTTGTAACATACTAGTAGAGTTCATTATTATAGATTCGCATTGGATCCTGAAGCTATCTGGATTTGGAATGAACAGAATGTTGTATAAGTGGAAGAACAATGGAATCATTGGTACAGCAGACGGGAAACCAATCATACCTAATAGCGGTTCTCTCAATAGCTTTTGACATTTAATTTATTTTTCATTAGAATTACATTATTATGCACCTGAGATGAGGAAGTTGTTGAAAGGAATCATGTATACCCATAGAGATGATCATATGAACATCCCTCCTCAACAAGGCCAGGTACTCTGTTGGGTCCAAACCTATTCACTTCTTGATTTCTATCTCAGGCTGCTGATATGTATGCGTTTGGAATAATTTTGTACGAGCTGATGTTCCGTAGAAAGCATGTTGAAATAGAAGACATCTATCAAAATGAGAGCAATGGTGCCTGCTTCCTCTAATGAGCTAATCAACCGTATATTATATTTCAGATGATGATAATTTGATTCTTTGTGAACACGCGGAAGCTATGATCCCTCCGTACCCTGTGCTGCCTTCAGACGTTTCGGAAGTTCATCCAGATCTCATAGGATTGATGCATAAATGTTGGTCTGATCAGGTTTTGTCTTTCTCAGAAGATTATAGCGTATTATCCTATCATTTAGTTGGATATTCGACCGGATGCTGCTTTGGCCAGAAAAATTACCGATGCCACATTGAAAATGTCTGGAAGCTTAGTAGACCATCTAATTCGAAATATGGAAATGTATACGTCGGGCTTACAAGACCTCGTTAGTGAACGGACTAGTCAAAGTGAAGAAGCACAAAGAAAGTCCGATGAGTTGCTGTGGGAAATGTTGCCCAAGTAAACATTCATATCATTACTATTATCACCAAACACACCCATTTCAGATCTTTGGCTGAAGACTTGAAGAATGGGAAGAAAGCAGAGGCGAAAAATTATAAATCCGTCACGATTATGTATTCTGATATCGTCGGGTTCACATCCCTCTGCTCCGAATCTCAACCCATGGAGGTTGTAGCCTTATTGAGCGGCATGTTCGAAAACTTTGATCGAATAATCAGTCAGTTTGATGGCTACAAAGTAAATCTAATTGTATAGTCTTCAACTTACGTTCTTGTCTTAGATGGAAACTATTGGAGATGCTTATTGTGTCGCATCCGGTATTCCAACTCCCAATAGAATGGAACATGTGAAGAACATTGCAACGATTGCTCTTCTGCAAAGAGATGTCAGTTGTTCTCCGCTATTTATTCTGATGATGTTATACTTTTCTTTCAACTAATTTTGTTTTCAGTACTTGAAAACGTTTGAAATTCCTCATCGTCCCGGTCAATACTTACATTGCCGTTGGGGATTCAATACTGGCCCAGTATTCACAGGTGTTGTTGGTATAAGAGCTCCTCGTTATTCTGTTTTTGGACAAACTGTATGTGCGCTTACTGAAAAGCAACAGAACAAGTTTTACAGGTTACAATAGCATCAAAAATGGAAAACTTAGGACAGCCGGACTGTATTCAGATGACTCTCAAAAGTCACAAGCTACTCAGTTCGAGATATCCAGAATTTAAATGTACTGCAAGAGGCAGTACTAGAGTACCTGTAAGTTACTTTTTGTTTGATTCTCTAAGATAGCAAAGGATCTTAAGGGAATCGGAATGCTTTTAACTTACTGGTTGGATGGTGTCGAAGAGCTCCTGAAAAGTAACAGAGAAGAGTTCGATAAAGCTATCGAGGAACATGAAAGCCAATCAACTGATGTAAAAGGCATTCTGAAGAAGAATCCTGTTGATTCCACGAGTCACATTTCTGAATTCATCCCAACGTGATGCGATGAAACGTAAGAGAGAAAGTGTAGAGAAGTCCGGGAGGGTATGAACAAGCGGTTTTTTGGAATTAAGCTCAACCAATAGGTCATAATTACAAGGCAATCCATAAATGGAAGAAGATCGTTGTTAACAGCCTTGAACCTAATAAGGAATGATAGTGTGGTAGTACGAAGTCAGGTAATCAAGCCCCTATGTTTCTTTCATATTTTGTGATACACATGTATATAATACCTTCGATTGTTTTTGCATTGAAGTCTTAGCTTATTAGAATTATATTATAAACGTTTTATGAAAGTCTTCCTAGTTTACTTCATCGATACTAATGCTCATCGTTTACGAATATTTTTGATTTGCATAAATATGTGTATTTTTATTAGTTTTCATTAAATGTTAGAGCAATTAAAAGCTGTCAATTGAACGATAAGCTCTTCTTCCTAGGGTGAATCTCGTTATTGAGGGAAAGGCACAACAGGTACTGAAAGAGGATATTTGAATATTGGAGGATGTAAGATATGTTTACCTCCTAAGAAGTATGCTACTTCCTTATTTATATAATCTCTGGCATTCTTCAATCCAGCGGCTTCACCTGGATAGATTGGGTACATATCGGAACAGTGACCAGCCTCTGTAAAATAATCTTATTTGCCTTTTCAATCATATCCACTTACTTGGAATCAAAATGCTGGATACGTGCAAGTCAGTGTTGTTCCAGTTCAAGCCCAATGAGTGCCATGGGTCGTAAGCTCCATTTGGAAGAACGATGTTAGTAGCCTTAACCAGAACGATATGAAGATGCAACTCTCAGATAACTTACAGTGTAGTGGTCGATTCCTCCATATCGTTTGTAGAAGGCTGTATTACGATCTCTGATACGCTTGATGTTGATATCAGCGCTGAACATTTGAGTGCACATATCGATGTAGTAGCTGAAACATCATGAGAAACTGACGCTGATTCGGGACTTACTTCAGAGGAACGATTTGTTGGAAGATATTGTATCCTTGGTCAGTTGTTTGAAGAACCCCCATTTCGTTGCAACAGAGCCACATCCATCCACGGGAAGCGGCTATATCTTACATTAGTTATTACAGGTCATTCGTCATACCGTTGTCTTGTGAAGCGTTTTCATCATCGAACGTTGTGTTGGCCAAAGTTTTGATGCTAGCAGCATAAGAATTATCCATGGTGGTTTGTGTGATCTTGTTCAATTTGTTATACTAAAAATCAGGGCTAATCAGTGTTCTGAAAGAAGTTCCACTACCCATAGAACTACGTTATTGACACGTTTGATGTAATCCGGGACAGTGTTATCCGTCATGATTTTACACAAGTTAGTTACATCTAAGCCTCCACGAGTTGCCTCGTTCTAAACCATATATAAGCTAATGAGTGTGGTGAGAGAGGATAACTTACACGTCCATCATAGGTATATTGAGTGACATCTTGGAAGTATCCGTAGATGTTAGCAAAGAAGTTATCAATGTCCAATTGGGTTACATTGGCATTGAAAGCAGGAGAGAGGCTAGGTTATGCGTAGCAATAGAATCTTCCAAATCTTTCTTACTTGAAGTAGGTGCTCAATTGGTTTCTTCCAGTGGTGGTTAAACTCAATGTTTGCATTTGAGTAAAAGCAGTACTGATAGCATTTCCACAGTTAACATCAACATCGAACATAGTATCTTGTACGACTTGAGCGTATTCTAAAACAACAACTGCTCAGCTCGCTCCTCTTAAATTCTCTTACGGAAGAAATCTAAAGTCCATAGCATGGGAGCGCTACTAGCGACAGCTCCAACAGTGTATTCTGGATACTTCATACGGAAAGCAGCGGAGAGGAAGCCTATAAGATAAGATGTTTCTTCATACATTGTGCCTAGTAGTTATTCGCAAAAGCGTGTGCAAGTAAACGTGATCAGGTGGCCGAGTGGTTAAGGCGATGGACTGCTAATCCATTGGGGTTTCCCCGCGTGAGTTCGAATCTCATCCTGATCGAACATTTT